GGTCATAACAGAGGGGGGTGGTCAAAGTTTAGGATGGTCACAGCCCAGGACTGGGTGGGGGTGGAAGGTTTGGTAACCTGCGGCAACAAGGGAGTGGTCTGGGGTCACCACACATGACCAGTAAGAGATAGGTTGCAGTGTGATTGGCCAGAAAATGGTCCATACGGGTTACAGTCCGCGGGGCCCCTGGAACATGAAGAGCCCGCATTGTCCACCTCAGCCAGTCACGTCCTCCGATACTGTGCCGGGAACTGGAACCTGATTGGCTGATGCGGCAGCTTCATTCGGTGTACAGGGAATCCGACTCGAGCCAAAATTAGACAAAACTCTCCTTTATTATCAGCTGACATGTCTCCTCCCCCCTCCCCGGGAGACCGTCATACCTGTGACATCATCACTGCCACCATATCATGTATGACCTCACACACATCTACCACGTGTACATATGACAGAACCGCACATCTACTACAGCGGAGAACCGCGCCAGGCACTTCAGACGTGGCCATCCGCCTGCAGGTCATGTGATCTCTCCCTATTGAAGAAGAATCTCCGCCCCCTAGTGGGCGGTCCCCGGAGTCCGTGTCGGGGGCGGGGTCTAGTTGAAGTATATTCGGTGGAAGTCGTGCGCTCCGAAGGCCGCGTTACATTTGGGACATTTGCGCTGGCGGGAATCGTATCGCGTCTTCACGCACTCGAAGCAGAAAACGTGGAAACACTTTGTGAACACGGCGTCCTTCTTCCGCGTGTTACAGCACGGGCAGGTGAGGCGGGCCTAGGAGGCAGAGCGACCAATCACATTACAGAACGGGCAGGTGAGGCGGGCCGAGGAGGGAGAGCGACCAAAACGGGCAGGTGAGGCGGGCCTAGGAGACAGAGCGACCAATCACATTACAGAACGGGCAGGTGAGGCGGGCCTAGGAGACAGAGCGACCAATCACATTACAGAACGGGCAGGTGAGGCGGGCCTAGGAGACAGAGCGACCAATCACATTACAGAACGGGGCCCCTCACAGCCCAGACTATGGGATCATACGGGGCCCCTCACAGCCCAGACTATGGGAACATACGGGGCCCCTCACAGCCCAGACTATGGGATCATACGGGGCCCCTCACAGCCCAGACTATTGGATCATACGGGGCCCCTCACTGCCCAGACTATGGGATCAACGGGGCCCCCCATACCCCAGTCTATGGTATAATACGGGGCCCCACATACCCCAGTCTATGGTATAATACGGGGCCCCACATACCCCAGTCTATGGTATAATACGGGGCCCCACATACCCCAGTCTATGGTATAATACGG